CAATATTGTATAACAATGTTGTTAATGTTGCTGTGAAGATGTTATGTAAATAACGTGGGTAGATGCAGTACTTTGGAAATACTTCCAGGGGACTCAGGAAACGATAGCAATGTAAACACAAGTGAGTTTTGCGGGGGATCAACATGCGTCTGTACAAATGGTAATATATAATGATCTAAAGCATGTACAGGTTGAGGACGTTTGCAGTTACATATGAGAACTTAACATTCTGAAATAGATTAATCGTTATTACGAATAACAGCTTATGTAAGAGCCGGGTGTGATACACATTACTTTGAGTATGTACACATTGATTTCAGGCAGATCTGTCGCTTCACGTATTGTAGTCTAACTCCAGGCAATCAATTTCTACGGTGTTAGTTTCCAAAGTGTTTGTGCATCAGTGTATAGTAAATTACCATTTTAACTATTATTGGCAAAAATACTGCGAAAAAACGCTGTTTGTCATGATTTATCTATTCTTGTTAATGCCTGATAATTGATCTCTCATTCTAGACTGTATGCAGTGCTTTACTTCATGAAACATCTCTCGTAATGGGCAGGCAAGGGGGACTAGATCTATGCAGTGATTCACATAACAAAACCTGGGGAGGCCAAAAGGTGTGTTTCAATAACTTTATCGAAATCAATATTTCATATATTTTAATTCAAGCCTGAACTACATTTAAGTTTCAGGGTGTTAGTCGTTGATTCATAAACTTCAGCTTAAATCCGATAAATCATAGTCTTAACTTTTTCACTAATATTTCAGATTAGGTGAAACATGCTATCTGCCACTAACTTGGGACACCCATATTCATGGCCCGACTCCCTAGTTCCTGATGACAAATAAACATTTATGAATGTAGAATTTTTTCATAAAAATCAAAGGGAACATACAGTGGAATTTTAGATCCTTCCCTGTTTTTAGACATCAGGCCAGGCATAATGCTGTGCATCTAGGCCTGCATCTATAGTTCAATCAGTCACTAAGCAGTTAATGGCAAAACATCTCAAGCAAAACTTATCCAACATCAAAAGCAGGGCCATGGTTTTCAAGCAGTGGGGTAGCCAAGTGGTTAAAGTGTTCGCTTGTCACGCCGAAGGCCCGGTTTCAAATCCCCACAAGGGAACAATGTGTCAAGCCCATTTCTGGTGTCCCCGCCGTGATATTGCTGGAATTATAATTGCTAAAAATGGTGTAAAACCACACTCAGTCAGTCAGTCATTATGTAGTGTCATTCCTTTTTGGGTTTGAATCCCAAGCTAGGTTTTTCATCACCAAACTCATGCTTTGAGAGTCGTTCAATGAAATATGCATCCAAGACCTGCATCTCTTGAGGGCTGTCTAAAATGTCGATTATTATGTTAGCATATTTTTCCGGCTACCTGATTGGTCTAGAGGCGGTCACGTGACCGTCGACAGAAAAGCATATTGACTCCAACCCAGGTCCGACCAAAAGTCATATTGACATGAGTTACTAAAATTAGATTTTGACGTCAAGCTATGACGTCATTCTATTGTTTACATGTCACAGTATTGTTGACATAATTGATTAATGTAGCGAAAATAAAATTACTTTTCTTGACTAAATGGACATGTTTTGGATTTTACAAGCTTTATTTTGTTTTGGTCATTACACAATAAAACAATTATGGACAGATGAATTCGGTCATAAAAACAGGTATTGACCTCATCACCAGTCTGTAATTGTATAATATCGCCGATAGGAAATATTATTAACAATTATCGATATGAAAATTATGTTACTGATAATATTGTACAATAACTTTTCTGATAAAATCTTTCTCACACAATATACAAACATAAAATTTTATTTATGATCTGCTACTAAATTATGTTAAGGATGCTGTTTTGTTAATAACCCATATAAAACATGTCGCCACTCTTCAGTGATGTGAAATATATTCCTTTCTTTCAGACATCTTTGGCATTTTTGCTCTAAGTTACGTCTCTGATATTTATCGATGATCGATCGATATATTGTTAACGTTGATCGATCGTTATGATCTGTATCGATAATCAGGGGCGGTGGGTGGCCTAGTGGTTAAAGTGATCGCTCGTCATGCCGAAGACCCAAATTCGATTCCCTACATGGGTACAATGTGTGAAGCCCATTTCAGGTGTCCCCAGCCGTGATATTGCTGGAATATGTATTGGTAAAAGCAGCGTAAAACTAAACTCACTCACTCACTCGATAGTCAGCTCAACATTAGGTTTACCTCCCACATGAAGCTGTCCGATGATATGACCGAAGTAATGTTCAAGGCAGTGTTAGGACAAACCTGATCCCTAAATCAGAAGCTGACGATCCAAAATTAGATTCGTAACAGATGGTAATCACACTGACCAGAGTTAATCATAGAGAACTGTGGGAATCCTGGTTTCTGTCTATGACACCTGTGACAGGCTGCTGTCACCAGGGGAGGCAACTCTTTGTCCCTCACAGTGCAGACAGTTTAATTGTGTCAGTCTGAATACAAGTTACAACCTCGAGAAGTCGCAAATCACGTGTTGGTGAGCAGGACATATTGTGAATATCTGATCCCTTGGCTGGAATATGGCAAAGAAAGAAAAGAAACGTATGTTGTCAAGATCCTTTAGTTTTTGTCAGTTTCTGATGTAACTGAAACTGTTTGCCTGTCCTTTATCATATATTTAACAGAGGTGATCTTACACTTGTTGTGACCCGTGAAGATCTTACACTTGCTGAGACCCGTGAAGATCTTACACTTGTTGTGACCCGTGAAGATCTTACACTTGTTGAGACCCGTGAAGATCTTACACTTGTTGAGACCCGTGAAGATCTTACACTTGTTGAGACCCGTGAAGATCTTACACTTGTTGAGACCCGTGAAGATCTTACACTTGTTGAGACCCGTGAAGATCTTACACTTGTTGAGACCCGTGAAGATGCGGGTTAGAATGAGCCTTCAGTTACCCATGCTTGTTGTAAGAGGCGACTAACAGGATCGGGTGGTCAGGCTCGCTGAATTGGTTGACACGTCATCGTATCGCAAGTGCACAGATCGATGCTCATGCTGTTGATCACTAGATTGTCTGGTCCAGACACGAATATTTACAGACCACTGCCATATAGCTGGAATATTGTTGAGTGTGGCGTAAACCTAAACTCACTCACACTTGTGGAGGGTGCATGAGTGTCATGGACTCACTCCTGTGATTGTTATAGTTATTATTTCGAATATATCAGCCATGTACATCAGACATTCAAGGTTTGATGAGTAGATTTAAATTATTGATTGACTATTGTTGATATGTTTGATATTTTAAGACACAAGAATGTGATTTTTTTATCATTTACAATCAGTTTTCCAGTTTTGCAGTTTCTAAACAGTATTCTAAGATGCTTTGCTAAAAGCTTAAAGGTCACATGCAACGTAAAACACAACTTTGCAGATTCCGATACCTTTCGGTATGGACTTACCGAAACAAATCATCAAAAATGCAAATTCAACTAATAAAGTTGAAAAATAACACGATGATAAAAAACACTCGAAATTGGAGTTCAAACGATTCACTAATTTTCCCCCAGCTCTTGAGGGAAAAGTGGTTTCAACAGCTATGCTGTCATGAATAAGTGATAATTGTGTTTTAATTATGTTTGAATTTTTGGTTGCATGTGACCTTTAAAGATGCCACCTGTTCTTTACCCTGCAATGAAGTATACCTCTTGTGTTATCAAGGCATCATGTTCTACTTACCTTACCTGTGATCTAACATAGCCATGGTAACATAATGGAATCAGTCCCGTCTTGCAAGACATCCTCATCAAATATCGATTGGGAAAGTTGTTTCTTTTAACCTGTTTAATAATTGAATATTATTACCAGGGAAGAAATCTGGCAACAGAATGTCACCAATCTCTTACACTGCTTCGCTAAACATTCAAAATACCGTGTCAGTGTACCACAGCAGTCACAAGTTGTCTGTGGCATCATTGGAATTACTGCAGTCTCTGGACACCAATTTGAACGATTCTTGTCTTTCTTGACTGCATGTACACTTGCTACTTAGTGTAAAGCGACCCGTGAAGGACCGGGTTAGAACTGATCTTCAGTAACCCATGCTTGTCGTAAGAGGCAACTAACGGGATCGGGTGGTCAGGCTTGCTGACTTGGTTGACACATGTCATTGTATCAGAATTGATGCTCATGCTGTGGATCACTGGATTGTCTGTACCAGACTCGATTATTTACAGGCCGCCGCCATATAGCAGGAATATTGCTGAGTGTGGCGTAAAACTAAACTCACTCACTCACTCACTCACTCACTCACTCACTCACTCACTCACTCACTCACTCACTCACTCACTCACTCACTCACTCACTCACTCACTCACTCACTCACTCACTCACTCACTCACTCACTCAGTGTAAAGCATTTGTCAAACAAATGCTGTTGCTCTTTCTCCTCCATTATTTAGATCACGCCCAGTAATGGTAGCACTTGGTGCAACTGACTCACTAAGCACACTGCTTAATGGTTGGTAGTTGCAGTCGTCTGCTAACCTGGATCTTGACACTGAATGAATAATAAATTGTGTTAATAGTTAATAAGGTAACTTCCATCCTTTAGTTCTGATTAAAATGTATGTTGTCTCTTATGTCAAGTCACTTGGGTGGAACATTTAGCGCTTTGCACTGATTATTTATGCCACCACCTAATATTGATCTTGTTTTTGAACCAACTAATAAATACAATTTTAATGTTAGATTGGTAATCATGTGTAGTGTAACATTGTATGGTTTTGCCATCAATTATTGTAACACAAGCATCCTAATATTTTAATAACCTGTATTAATACTGTCAGGTTTATTTCTTGTTATTGTAGGGAACACTTTTCAATATACTAAGAGATTGAACGAGAAGTGTTTAGCAGTGTGCTAAATATGGTGAGTATGGTAACCGGCATGCTTTGACCAAAAATGTTAAATTTTTTGTCTTTATGTTTCAGGTTCAAACAAAATGAGTAGAACAAAAAGAGCAGGCATGCCGCCAGGGAAACTGAACAGTTCCACCAAGAGTTCTGTTCAGACTTGGGGCCCGTTCTGTGGTATCCTGGCAACCGTTATGGGAATCTGTCTGCACATACAGTGGCCGGAACTGCTTCAGGAGAAACAGATCGACACACCCGTGAATCTGTCCACAAGTCCCTATGTGTTTGACTTCCAGGAAGCGTTTGCTACTCGTGATGAAAATATGCAAAAGTATGATTTTAAATACAATGACGCTGGTATTGACCGTCGATCAGGCCTGAAGTTGGAGGAATTCTGGGATGTGTATGATGGAAAATGGTAGGTTCTTGTCTTGTTCTATAGAACCTCTATGACACTTGTCATAGGGGTAAGGGGCGGTGGGGTAGCCTAGTGGTTAAAGCGTTGGCTCGTCACGCCGAAGACCCGGGTTCGAATCCCCACATGGGTGCAATGTGCGTAGCCCATTTCTTGTGTCCCCCGCCGTGATGTTGCTGGAATATTGCTAAAAGCGGCGTAAAACCAAACTCAGTCAGTCAGTCATAGGAGTAAACAAAGTGTGTGATCTTGATTACCAGTTGTCCGACTTCCATTTTCGTGAAAGCCAGTGGCTGAGTAAGTTACATCAGACAACATTCATCAATAATTGACAGGTTTTGTATCCATTACGTTCCTCCGTCACTTTGTGGGCTTTCTGTGATATCTTGTATAAGTCATTGTTTAAGCCAACACAGATATCAAATGATGTCTGATATTGAAGCAATGTATAAAGAAGAAGATGATTGCAAGGCAAGGGCACATGTTGCGTGAATGTTTGTGGTATGTATATGATAATGATATAATGTATACATCTATAGCGCTAAATTCCATACACCAAGTGCATGCTCGATGCGCATACAAACAGACAGTTCATTATTACCCCGGTTAACCCAAGCTGCCTGTGAGGCGCTAGAAGGTTATAGTCACATGTTATAGAACAAATTTTATGGATAACAACTTCTTTTTATTCATGAGTGCGACATTTCGATACAGATGCTTGACAACAGTACAAGAATCTGTATCGAAACGTCGCACTCACGAATAAAAAGAAGTTGTTATCCATAAAGTTTGTTCTATATTGTATTTCCCAACTTCTAAAATGCGACTCAAAGAAGTTATAGTCACATGACTTATCCCACCAGGTACCCATTTTCTGCTGGGTGAACAGAGGCAATTTTGAACAAACTCTCTTGCCTAATCTGAATTATCTGAGAAGTTCCTGGTTTTCTTCTCGCTGAAACTAGACTGGCGTTTGATTTGGTTAGTGACAGGACTGACTACATGACAAGGGTTGGTATGTGTTCATGGGTGATGGAGGACATAGTGTAGACAAACGCTGAAAGTGACTACATGTACTGAAGCCTGGAACATAAATGTATCCTCACGTCTTCTGTTTGTTTCTCTAGGCCAGTACTTATCACTGACATCATACAGAAATGGGAGGCAGTCAACTGGACCAGGGACTACTTTGTGAACAATTATGGCGAGGAAAGAGTTGTCATGAAAGCCGTCCATGTAAGTAAAGAGGATGAATCTTCTGAAACCTTACATACAAGCTTAATGCTCAGGTGTACTGCCTTACCTTGTTGGGCATGGAGAAATTATTTAGACTATTCAGACAGTTGCAATGGTATTAAAGTATTCTTTGACCATTGGAGTGAGTGAGTGAGTATGGTTTTCAGGGGTGGAAATAACCCATTGCCCGACGTCCCGGTCCAGTGTTTTTTTCTGTCGGGCTAGCAAATTTGTATGTCACTCTGTACTGGTGTCCAGTTGACTTTCCAATGTTAATTATGTTGTTTATTTAAAAATATAAACAAGAACGTCGGCCGGTATAGTGGAAGAATTATCAGGGCAAGTGATTTTACATGTGCCTCTGTATCGGAGTACACTAGCAATATTAAAGTTCCTGGGTTTTATTCTGCTTTTAGCAATATCACGGCTGGGGACACCAGAAATGAGCTTTACACATTGTACCTATGTGGGGACTTAAACCCTTCAGCATGACAAGTGAACACAAGGCTAACCCACCACCCCCTTTGACCATCGGATGTAGATGATATTCAGTCAATATTCTTGTTTGTTGTTGAATGTCACATTCAGCAATATGTATGCTATATGTGTGTGACTATATGTATAGTCTAGACCAGACAATCAAGTGATTGGCATCATAGTCATCAATTTAAATGGGATATGGTCAATATCTTTCCAATGTTTCCTGTGGTGGATTATACAACCTGGCAATAAGTTTAAACACCTGTTAATAGGCATTAAAATTGGTGTGACAGTATAAATTTCGATCTGCATATTACAGCCATGTATGAAGTGTATGTAACTACAAAATAACTATCACCAAATAGTTTCTGGTTTCATGGATGTTTGAACTGTTATCTATCACACAATCTATTTTAACAAATTTAACTGGTGAGTTTTAATGAGCACACTGTTGTGTTAATTACCTGTTTGTACAGATGTCTAACAGCATATTTAGTAGGGCTGCGCTATAACCGGTTCAGACATGAAAACGATACGTGAAACGATCAGTATTGCGATACGCTGATAGAAAACCAGTATTTTGACTTGTATTCGGAAAACTTCATAAAACTTGGAAACCTTGATGATTGTGGCAATTGTGGTAATGGTGGTGGGAATGATCGTGGTGAAAATTACATTTAAATATTATCTATATTCTTATTTTGTCATGATTAAAAGTTTTTATTAAAGCTTAATGAAGCATAGTGATTTTGTTGTGTTTTTGCTTTATAAATAAAGCGTTAACTTGATCATTAGTAGTTTATTGTTAAAAAATACTTCTTGCAATATATTGCAATACATATCGCAATATAAGCTTTCGCATCGCAATATCTCGCAATATGAAAATTCTCTGCAATACCCACCCCTAATATTTAGCATTTGTAATAATGCAGGCTATGACTTCCTCAAAGTCACACAACCCCTTCTGCCCAACCCTTTTTGCAATACTAAAACCTTTAATGAAACAAGTCTAGATTTTCTCAGTTCAGCTGTTCAGATATGAATCTCTCAATCACTGGGGCTCCAAATTAAATGGAATTATCTGTTTCTGTAAAAATTATATATATTCAGAGACTAAGTGTTAAACTATCTATGACACTAAACAATGGAATCTTCATTGACCCAAAAACTGCTTTATGTCTGTGGGGAATAATTGCACATGACTCAATTTGCCCACATTTCTTCTCCTGAGTACAATTTCCTGATGTCACAGGGAGAGTATTGTTGACTGCATGTCTCACTGTCTCAATAAATATGATTTCTTTCCAGGGCAAACTGAACCAGGCTTCTAGTCTTGCCTTGCCACTGAAGTTATTTCTACAACATATCGAGGAGAGTTCTCCGACCACCTGGACGTACTTAGAGGACGAACTGTTCCTTCCTCTGCGACCTGACCTGTATAAGCAAGTCCAGACAAGTGTGAGGAAACAGTCTATGATATTTTTATATGAAATTACCGTATATGACCGACTATAAGTCGGAAATTTGATACCAGAAAAAGGAGCTAAAAATCAGACCCGACTTATAATTGACCTAATGATGTAACCAGGGGCTTGCTCCGTTGTTTATTGTGCAAGAAGATTGCTGTGCATAGTTATCTCCCTTTGGAGTGACAGACGCCTGTGATCATTGGTTCAAAGTCCAGATTATGGTTATATTTCTTGGTTTCTCAACTTCATACGGCAGTTGTTGTTCTACTGAAGTGATAAACATCTAACACCAGAATCACCTCTGTTTTCCATCTCAAACTGACATGATGTAATCAAGCAAAAATACTGTTCAATGAGGTATTTCACACAACTCGCTCTCTCACTCAACCAACATGATTCAATATATAACCAAATATTGAATAAATAGTGTTTGGAAAGACATGAATCACTTCTGTATAAACTAGTCCAGACAAGTGTGAGGAAACAGTCTATGATATTTTTATATGTAATTACCGTATATGACCGACTATAAGTCGGAAATTTGATACCAGAAAAAGGAGCTAAAAATCAGACCCGACTTATAATTGAGTTAATGATGTAACCAGGGGCTGGGGTTGCCCCATTGTCTATTGTGCCAGAAGATTGCTGTGCATAGTTATCTCCCTTTGGAGTGACAGACGCCTGTGATCATTGGTTCAAATTCCAGATTATGGTTATATTTCTTAGTTTCTCAACTTCGTACGGCAGTTGTTGTTCTACTGAAGTGATAAACATCTAACACCAGAATCACCTCTGTTTTCCATCTCAAATTGACTTGATGTAATCAAGCAAAAATACTGTTCAATGTGGTATTTCACACAACTCGCTCTCTCACTCAACCAACATGATTCAATATATAATATTGAATAAATAGTGTTTGGAAAGACAGGAATCACTTCTCCTGCTGTTAACCTCTAGTTTGCTGGACTAAGATTTGACTAATTATTAAGATGTTGAAAGATTCGGATTCAATCGCTGAATAATGCGTAAACAAATGTTGAGAATGTTCTCGTCTACACCAAATGAAAACCATTGCTCTTTTTCCTCATATCTCTGCTATTCCAAGCACACGTAAGCTATCTGAAGCTTGGTCTGAGCAATCTTTGGTATAGAAGGCAGCTCATTTCTCAAGTGTTGTGCATGGTGTGTTCAAATCTTTGACTATAGATCGTCCAAGTCAGCATGTCTTATGTTTTAAGAAACACAAGGGTCGAGGGATATATTTTTTCAGTTTTATCAATTTTTTGTTCAATTTTATCAAAACAATTCGTTCACTTTCGTCAAATGTTTTTAGTTTTATCAATTTGTTTTTGCAGACATACACAACAGAGAACTTTTTCAGCTTGTTCCCACAAGAGATTCGCCCATGGGACTGTATGCTGTTGTGGGGAACAGCCTACTCACGCTCCTCCCTCCATATAGACCCCTACAACTGGACCGGAACCAATGCAGTCATCAAGGGCAAGAAACGATGGAAGGTAGGAGGAGCAGCTGTGTTGAAACATCAGCAGTGTTTAAATGTCAGAGCAGTATCTATCCGAAATTTATGAATTGTGATGCTGAATATTTTATTCACTGCCTCTTAAACATTTTCGTATTTTTTGATAACAATGGTTAAGAGGGAAATTGAAAACTCAGATAATTCCGTTTTTAGCCAATATATTGTCTGCCGACTTCATGTTAAGCGTTAGATTGATGATTTTTTAGTTTCTTTTAGCAATTTATATGTACTTATACAGAATAATTAATTTTATTATTACTTGATAAAAGGATGTTATGATACTTGAGTCATATTGAGACCAAATAGTTTCAAGCAATGACGCCTGTGGTGGAAATATGGTGTATCTTATGGTCATACCAAATAATTAAAAAAAGAAAGGAATATATTCTGAAAGGGCACCTCAAGTAAAAGTGTTTATTACAGGTGATAGTTAGGTGATGAATCATGGTACTATCTGCATGGATTTAGTGTTGCTTACTATGATCAGTGTATGAAATAAGGCCCGTCCGACCGCTCGAGACGGGCAAGATTTCTGATGGACAGTCTAAATTCACAGCTTGCCAGCCCGATGGTCTGGTAGAAATTTTACATGTTCCATACACCTGAGAAAATTCACTTTATCTTGGTGTCTGGTCTGGTTAAATCCATTTTGGGCTGGTAACATTTTGGAGTTACCAGCCCTGATGTCTGGCTGGGTTTTCGGCTTATTTCATACACTGCTATTATAGATGATAGTTTGGTGATGAATAGTGGTACCATAAGCATGGATTTATTTAATAATATAGTTTTAGCTCCCTACTCCATATTTCTTGTCTCTAGAACACACCAGAAACCTACCATAGTTGATTCATATCCCTGATTTGTTAGGGGCGGTGGGGTAGCATACTGGTTAAAGCGTTCGCTCATCATACTTAAGATCTGAGTTCGATTCCTACATGGGTACAATGTGTGAAGCCCATTTCTGGTGTCCCCCAACATGATATTGCTGGAATATTGCTAAAAGCAGCATAAAACTCATTCACTCATCTGATTTGCTGATGTATTTAGGTTTGTCAGCACCATAACCATTATCGTTGCCTTTAGCAAATGATGACACATATAGGACATCAACATGAAGCTGACGTGCCATGATATAACTGAAATACTTTGGACAGCAGCATTAAACACATCTCACTTGGTTGCTGGAATTCACAACAAGTTTTTAATGCAAACTGGTTTTGTTCTATTTTTCAAGCTGTTTCCTCCAGGACAGGACCATCTTTTGTCGGTAAAACCCAACAAAATGTGTGGGTTTCCGCTAGAGTGTAGGAAATATAATAGGTACCTTGACTTGGTGTTGTGAATCGCGTTGTGCATGTGTTGTGGCTAGAGGTGAGCACGGTGTTGTGGCATGACTGTTGTACTACTTTCTTGTCAAGTATCACAACACTTCCACCTACAGTTCTCTTTATTATTTTAGTTTTCCTTTTGTACAAAAATTGGAATGTTAGTACAATTGGTTATTCTGTATTTAGGGTTGCTTAACACTTATGGATATAAGTAAAGGTAAATGTACAAAAGATGGTGTCAACAGTGTCCAACCAGTGTACATGTATAGCTGATTTTTGCAAATACATTTACCAGTTTTTATGTTTATCTGAAAATATATTGAAGTAAATTCTCATGAATCAGTAAAAGGTAACAGTAACTTTACAGACTGCTGTTTAGTCAGTAACTCAACAATTCAGTAGACAACAATAAGAAATCAGTGAAATTGTTCAGCTCAAGAAATCCCAAAATGCCCTGCCCACTATGTCATCAACCAATCAGGATATAATACTTGGCTAGTGGGAGTTGCCTACGTTTAGAGGGTAGGGTTGCAAAAGTATTTGTTTGGTTTGGGAATATCCAACAGGTATGATTCATCTAGCTATTTGCTCAGAAGTATTTGCATGTAAGATAAGACCAACAGGATGGACATGTGGATAATTGTCTCTAGCTGACAACAGTATGATTCATCTAGATTCTAAATTAATGTCACAGGTGTTTGAGATGCCTGACCCCATTTTGTTTCTTTTAATCGGATAAGAGTGGAATGTGTTGTGGTATGTATATATACACAAATATATATGTATATGAAGAACATGACTTGCAACTGATGGGCCACTTCCTTGGTGCCTATGTACGTACTCTGCACAATAATAACCGAGTTGGAATGACTTCCGATCCTCTAATGATAGTCAAAGCGTTTATATAAAGAGGAGCACTGGACATTTTAGTCAAGAAACAAGGCCCAAATTCCACAAACTATAGTCTGTTTGCAGTGAAAACGTACCAATGAATTTCACTTTAAACCAAAAAAAATGTCAAACAAAGTGGAATTAAGATTGCGAATCCTCACAATTTTACCTTGCCAATTGAACATTTAAATTTCAGAATTTGTTTCAACTTAGGATAAAAGTTGTTTAACAAACGATCATAGTTTCAAGTAGTTATTATTGGTTTGTATTACAAGGGGGTACGCGAAGTAGTTGGAACAGTGACACAAATGCACATGTGGTGCATGATCAGCGTTAACTTAGACAACCGTAGAAACCAACCCTTCTCGGGGTTTCATTTAATGTGCATACGCCCTTGTAATACAAACCAATAATAGCGATTTGAAACTATGATAGTTGCTTAAACAACTTTTATCCTAAGTTGAATAAAATTCTGATATTTTAATGTTCAGTTGGCAAGGTAGTGTTCTTAAGTAGGCTTAATTTCACTTTATTTGATTTACCTTTTTGTTTAAAGTGAAATTCATCGGTACTTTTTCACTGCAAATAGACTATAACCATAGTGTTACGACAATTGTAAATCTTTGTTATAGTATTTGACTTACGATCACCGTAACACTGCATTTGCTTTGTGGAACTGGGTGCTTGTTTCAGGATGTTTGCTGTTTCAAGGGACATCTCTTAGTTTCCAGTAATCAATAAACTATGATTCCACTGGGGTTTGCTGGGTTTAGCTATATCACACTTAAAGGTCGCCCTCTTGAACCAGTCCTGGTTGATGTTCTCAAACTGACAATATCGGCCGTTGGTTTTTCTGGTCCAAACTCGGATTCATGCAGGTTACTGTCATATAACTTCAATACTATCAACACTCTGATGTTTAGTACAAATAGATCAACATTTTGTATTTACATTGGTTTATCATTTAGTATTGTGAGTATATTAGGTTACGTTTTGTGCAGGGTGTGTTTGGTGTTGTGAATGCATTGGCCATATATTTCTCTCTTTTCCTGCTCAACTTCTTTGGAAGGGAATGTATATTATCGATGTATTATCCATCCATCTTTTGTATTCTCTTGGTATTTCCTCTATGGGATCTACATTTTTTATTTAATCATTTCATTTGCATTATCAGATAAGTGTTTGTATATTTTTCGTTTAGAAATGCAATCTTGTTATTTTTGTTATTTGAGTTAGACTGTATGTTAAACCACTGTTGGTTCCCAGTGAGTACAATTTACTCATTTATGCTGCCCTTGCCCAGACGATAATATAACTGTCTAGAATACCAAAGTAATTTCTGCTTGTCTAAAGGTTGTCATGAAATATGGGAATGTTACTTTGGGTGAATGATTAACATTTGAACCTTCAAGGATACAGCTGATGAAACATTCTACATGTTTCTTCCTGTCATACTGTGATGTTGTTAAATGTAATTTAAGTGCGTGTGGTAGCCTCAGTGGTTAAAAGCGTTAAGCTTCCGAAGGCCTGGGTTCGATTCCCCATGGGTACAACTTGTGAAGCACATTTCTGGTGTCCCCACCGTGTGCTGGAATATTGCAGAAAACCATACTCAGTAGATCCCAAGCTGTAGGCCCAAGCTGAGTGATCTTGTGGTCAGACCCTGTGGTGTCCCACAGGGATATTGGTCGGACCCTGTGGTGTCCCACAGGGATATTGGTCGGACCCTGTGGTGTCCCACAGGGATATTGGTCGGACCCTGTGGTGTCCCACAGGGATATTGGTCGGACCCTGTGGTGTCCCACAGGGATATTGGTTTGGACCCTGTGGTGTCAGGGGGATATTAGGTGGGAGGGTGTCCCACAGGGATATTGGTCGGACCCTGTGGTGTCCCACAGGGATATTGGTCGGACCCTGTGGTGTCCCACAGGGATATTGGTCGGACCCTGTGGTGTCCCACAGGGATATTGGTCGGACCCTGTGGTGTCCCACAGGGATATTGGTCAGACCCTGTGGTGTCTCGCCTGTGTGTGGTGTCCACAGGGATATTGGTCAGACCCTGTGGTGTCCCACAGGGATATTGGTCAGACCCTGTGGTGTCTCCACAGGGATATTAGGTCAGACCCTGTGGTGTCCCACAGGGATGGTGAGGACCTGTGGTGTCCCACAGGGATACAGGGATATTGGTCGGACCCTGTGGTGTCCCACAGGGGTGATATTGATCGGACCCTGTGGTGTCCCACAGGATATTCTTTGTGGGACCCTGTGGTGTCTCACAGGGATATTGGTCAGATCCCGGTGTCCCCACAGGGATATGTCAGACCAGGGATATTGGTCGGACCCTGTGGTGTCCCACAGGGATATTGGTCAGACCCTGTGGTGTCACACAGAGATATTTATCATGTTATCAACCATACAATGTCCCCCAATCTTTCTTTGTATTTATTATGAATTTGCAACAAAATATGAAGGTATAATTCCTTTCTTTATTCACATGAATAATATACCAATTTACAAAAACATTAATCAATCAGGACTAAATTTTAATACATGAGAGTTATTATTTACCCTGACATTAATTGTAATTTAGGAGGATGGTGTCAGTATTTAATTTTCATAGCTGAATTTTGCTATATTGAAGGTAACAAGAAACAAAGCAAGGGTAGAGTTTATACAATGAATCATACGTTTTCACTACTGAGAAAAGTAGGGGGCGAAGATATTGTTGTGAAACGACTGGTCAAGCAGTGTTGCTTTCTTTGTGTTGTTTATGTTGTTTTCAGAGATAATTGCATGTATTGCACAGACTCCTCTGCATGCAGTGAATGAATACACCACCGGCACGTCTAGCACTGACTATGGAAACTTTCACAACACTGTATTTCCTCGTGTCACAATGTGATCTCATCTGTTTCTATTGCTGAATGCATGTTTTCGTATTTCTATCTTCAGGATTTATATTTACTGGATGTTTTACAACTAAGGCCATGCCAATCTACTTCAATTTTGTAAATTTTATTGGTCATTATAATGAAAGGAATATGAAAAAATGAAATAAGGAAATTAATTAATTAATTAATTTATATTAATTTGAGGTTTTCAACTTTTGCAAAAAATAAGAATAAAAGTGTCAACAAAAAAGATGTTGTAATATCATAAAATATCATAAAATAAACAATAAACAGTCTCTTTCTTGCATGTTTGCGACATCGAGGATAAGCTTGTCATGTGAAGAAAACTGGTTTTCTTGAGTATTATACCGGTATATGAAAATTATGAATTCGGTTGTTAAAGACGATTGAACTGAAGGGAAGAAAGAATTACCATGATGCGGGGTGTGATTTATTGATTATTGTATTATATCATAAATGGAAATGTTTTATGAGAATTTTCACCCCTCAATATAAATCCTTTCCATGCTGGAAACCTCATTTGTTAACTATTTAGATATGAAATTTACCCTGCAATTTATCAGTGAAAAGATATGTCTCAATATTGAGAGAATAGATCACACAAACACGAGATCTGAAACATGTGAAAAGCTCAAGGAGTAATGAGACTGTAAGTAGCCCAGTGGTTTAGTGTCGTCCCAAACCCTGTGTTTGGTTCCCAACATGGGGCCAATGTGTGAAGCCCTTTCTGGTACCCCCTCCTGGATATTTGTGTTTTGGAAAGTCGAACAAGCCCAAACTGTCTCCCTCACTTACATAAAGACATTTATTCAGTGTACATGCCACAGGCTAGACTTAACATTAAGGCTCTGAAATAAAGTGTGTTTGATACATTCTCTAATTGTGATGTGTACATGTTTCAGCCCGATTGACACATTTGACAGTGAGGAATACACCAAGTACCCTCAGTACAAGAAGGCACACTATATAGAGTTTGATCAGAACCCTGGAGAGTTCCTGGTCATCCCCTCCGGCTGGTTCCACCAGGTACGTCACGTTTAGGTCTTAAACACTGAGTTACTTTCAATTGGGGGCGATGGGGTAGCCTAGTGGTTAAAGCGTTGGCTCGTCACGCCGAAGACCCGGGTTCGATTCCCCACATGGGCACAATGTGTTAAGCCCATTTCTGGTGTCCCCCGACGTGATATTGCTGGAATATTGCTAAAGGCAGCGTAAAACTAAACTCAGTCAGTCAGTCAGTACTTTCAATTGTTTTATTAATTTGAGTAGTTTTAGTTCAGCTTCCTACACTGGAGTATGGTGTGTAAATTATCATATCTTTTGGAGGGTGTATTTGTAATTTGACTGTTTGGAGCCTGTTCCTATAGGTCTCCTACTTTGTCTGCTAGCTCGCCTTCATGTTCGTCAGTCAAGGAGACCATTTCCTTTATGTGGTTATTGTTGTATTTGTACCTCCCTCTCTCCCTCAAGACCCGTGAAGGTCTGGGTTAGAATTGATCTTCAGTAACCCATGCTTGTAGTGGCAACTAACGGGATCGGATGGTCAGGCTCGTGGTTGACACAAGTCATCGTATCCCAGTTGCTCATGCTGTTGATCACTGGATTGTCTGGTCCAGACTCGATTATTTACAGACTGCCGCTATATAGCTGGAATATTGTTGAGTGTGGTGTAAAACTAAATTGTAAACCAAAAGTCACTGTTTTCTTTAATCTGATTGGTTGAAAAACGTGATCAAATGGTATTCGATTCCTGGAAATTCGCTGCGTATTAATACATACAAACATCGCTCACACCATTGTATTGTTACGTCGTCAGCTGAGATGACGTCTTTCAAATCATATTGTGACGTAAAGTCTGAATGACGTCACAAATGAGCAGTTCTAGATGCTACCATGAGAGACAGCCGAAACGGCCGGCTGATTACATTGCACTCATGTACCCGTACTCTATGTCAATGAGTGCAGACACATAAACGTGTGTGGACCTTTTGGTTTACTTTTGTGTTTACAATGTCGATAAACATCATGTGTTGGCCAGTTTCCGGGTGTTATTGAGTATTTGAAGCACTGGAATATTCCATTTGAAACCTCCGGCTGACGCCGTCGGTTCCAAATGAATTCCTGTGCTTTAAATACTCAATAACAACCGGAAATTGGCCAACACATGATGTTTATCTCCTAACTCACCCACCCACTCACTCACTCAGTCAGTCAGTCACTCACTCAGTCTGTCTGTATTGCAGGCCTACAATGTAGAGGAGACCATCGCTGTGTCAGGTCAGTTCATGAACAGGAACAACTACCTGGTGATCCTGGAGGAAATCCTCAAGGCTGATAACCTGAAGCGTTCACGTCTGCCAGCCCACTTCCACACCCTGCTGCCACCTGACCAGGTCAGTGGGAATTATCTCCCCTTATCTATAATCCCTTTTCTCTCCCTCTTGCCCTCTCATCTTCCTCTCTCTCCTCTCTCTCTCTCCTCCCTCCCTCTCTCTCTCTCTCCTCCCTTTCTCTGCATATATTCCCTCTCCCTCCCTCCCTACTGAGCCCTAGGTAACTGAACCATAAGGTGTGATTTAAATACTGCTCTCAAATACTACACTCCCTCACACACACACACACACACACACACACACACACACACACACACACACACACACACACACACACACACACACACACACACACACACACACACACACACACACACACACACACACACACACACACACACACACACACTGAATTTCGAGAGATAGTTTTATAAAGAAAACAATGCCTTATTTGTATGTCTTATTTGTATGTATCTGTCTCTAGGTGAAAGTGTTCATGTCCCTGCTGCCTCAGAAGATCCTGGCTCATGGAAGGGAGGTCACCTCACAGGTCATCAAGCAAGTGGAGACTGTCCGCAAGCAGTAGACACTAGGGGCACTGTTCTACCCCTGACATGTGCCTCCTTCATTCTGTTCTGTTTATCCATGTTTGGACATATCTTCTTTCCTTTTTTCATCTTGCCACATTTGAATGTTACTGTATTTGTGTTCTGGAGTTTGTTGTCTGGGTGTTCAGATCTAATGCTGCAGATCGATTGTGTGTATGTGACAAATCAGTATATTCTGTGACATAAATCAAGGAAAGTTTGAGGGTGAGAATATTTTTACCATCCCAACAGCCCAGTAATAATCAGTTTTTTTCAGTGTGTTGGAACGAAAAGTTCAGCTGAACAGCTTAATCAGCAGAGAGATTAATGATGTCAGTGGCTTATGATGCCATGGTAACCAATGACATCACAATGACCTGCCAAGTATTGTGATGCAATTTCATTGTTGTGATATCACTTTCAAGAGAGATTTAGCAAAGCAATATCTCGTGTGGAAGCCTATTTTGGATGATAACATATTTGTGTTTTTGATAAAATGCTCATCTTTCACCTAATATGCAAATTTGTCACAATACAGCAACCCCAGGATCTGCGAGTCCAGGATTCTACATCCAAGACATGCCACAATTATAATCCATGGTTTGTTCTGGTTTCACCATGTACATGATTTCTGAGCTTGTGTTGTTTTGAGCTTACCTGCCTCATCATGAAACAGGGGGTGGGCTAGCCTAGTGATTAAAGCGTTGGCTCGTCACGCCAAAGACCGGGTTCGATTCCCCACATGGGCTCAATGTGTGAAGCCAATTTCTGGTGTCCCCAGCCGTAATATTGCTGGAATATTGCTAAAAGCGGCATAAAACTTAACTCAGTCAGTCAGTCAGTCATCATGATACAACATACTGTAATTCTTTTAAACAAACGTCCAACCAAAATCACTCCCTTAAACTTGTGATGTATAGTCATTTAGACATGTTATATTGTTTTACCCTATACCTCTTCATTGTTACAAACACAAGTTATTATTGGCAATACAAGATAAGATACCAGTGGGTGTGGGGTAGCCTAGTGGCTAGAACATCTCTTGTCACACCGAAGGCCCGGGTTCGATTTCCCACATGGTTACAAAGTGTGAAGCCCATTTCTGGTGTTCCACACCGTAAATATTGCCGGAATATTGCTAAAAGTGACATAAACCCCAACTCACTCACCAGTGAATGAATCTGACATTCCATTTGTTGTATGAATTTGTTATGTGTGATTTAATTGTGTATTTTTTGTGTATTATATTGGTCAGTTGTTATTGATTATTGGCCATCTCAATCATCTTTACAGTAAACAATCACTGTGAATAGAGGTCTGCAGGGATGTTTATTCCCCAATGAGCAATATTTCAATATTGATTGACTTAGTATCCTACCAGTTGAGGTTTATGGGCAGATTAGAAACTTGAAACACCCCCCACCAACCTCCAAACAAATTGAATCAGTCATCGTACATGCTGGATGGTCTTGAAAAATCTTTTGCTGTGGGTCCGAACAAAGTTGTTACGTTATTTATTTTAACAATACAAACCATGTTTTGATGCATCGAATGAAAAATATTTTCTCTAAAACAAAAATCCCAGCATCCCTTCCCATCCACACATGGAAAATGTTCTGGGTCCTTTATCACAAAGTTATGTTGGCACTACAATGGTCGTAACTCCAATCATTAATCTTAGGCTTATGAAAGTCACAGTGCTACATTCACTTCATGGAACGGTGGGGTAGCCTAATGGTTAAAGCGTTGGCTCATCATGCCAATGACCCGTGTTCGAATCCCCACATGGGCACAATGTGTGAAGCCCATTTCTGGTGTCCCCCGCCGTGATGTTGCTGGAATATTGCTAAAAGCAGCGTAAAAACCAAACTCAGTCAGTCAGTCAGTCATGGAATGGTGCCCTTAGTCCTGTTCCACAAAGATATCTTACTGCTATGACTACATGCTTCATAAACCTAATGTTGGAGTCAGGTAGACTAACATCTAGTCTCCGAAATAAACATATTTTACAGAAAAAAAATGTTCATAAAAAGTAATCATAGAATATAATAAATAGGAGCCCAGAGACTCTCTTCATTTTCAGAAATCTAGACTTGCCACACATTCTAGACTTGCATGGGCTTTCTTGGATATATTTGTTTCCAGGTCTGTATAACAGACAAGGAGTTAGGTCATGGAATGGAGCTGCTCTACAAAGCTATGTTAGCACTATGACTACCATAAGCCTAATGTTGGAGTGTTGGAATTACGCCTTAGTGCTAATATTGCTTCTAGGAACCTTGGTCGTTTCCTACAAAGCTGCCTTAAAACTATGACTATTGTGAGGGTAATGTTAAAGAGAGTTACAGTGATTTTAATAAGCTATCACTTCATGGATCAGAGCCCTGGACTCCACTCCACAAAGCTATTTCAGGGCTGAGATGACAGTAACTCCCATTGTTTAACATAGACTCATGATCTTTGTAGAATGGGACCCTAGTCATTGCCAGTACCAGAACATCAAAAAATGGCTATATATAGTGTGCAGGGTTTTTCATGGGTGTCAGGTCTTAAGGGGGGAGATTTTGCCACAAAGACTTGGTTTCGCTCCCAACAAAGCTATAGTGTGGATCCAATTCTTGGTGACCATGGCTGTCATAGCATCCTGCAATATGATTGTACAATACAAACCTCACAATATCCGGTTTTACTGATATTGTACATGTATATGAACACACAATCTTATGCTGGAATTGTTCATCAGTGATGTTTGTTTGTTTGGCCATCGAATACCCCTAGCAGACAAGGGTATCTGTTGTTACATATGTGGTTGCTATGTATGGCAATTACTTGTTAGTCGTTAATATGTAGTTTGAATTGTTACTGGTTTTACCATGCCCTCAATTTGATGTGAAGATTTTAGGTGAATATTGAATACCAGATGACATGTGTTCAGCACCCTGCTCAAATTAAAAAAAATATTAATATTTTTCAAAACAAAATGTCAGGTGTCTTTTCAGGTGTAATTTACTTGATGTAAAAGTGTCCGCTGTGAGTAGTTTCAAATGGAAGGTGGAATAGCCTTGTGGTTACTGTATTCTCTCGTCATGTGGAGGGTACAGGTTCAGTTCCGACATGGGGGCAATGAATGAATCACATTTTAGATGTCCCACTGCCATAATACAGTATGTATGAGACGAATTCGTGTAACCGGGATTCAAATGATGACAACTATAACAGGGAATGGTCGGGGCCGACAGGTACTTCGAGTTATGCATAATATTCGAGACACCGGCATTCGACTCATCGGGATTTGACTGGATTGTTATTGTTTAAAACAATGCTAACAATTTATTGGCAAGAAACTTAGTCAAATCATGAAGAAAATCAAATCATTAAGAAACTGAATTGGTTGTCTTTTTCAAGTGCCAGTTCTTTGATGATTTGTTGTGCTCAGACTTTTGATATATATATGGAACATATCAGGGATTTTAAGTTCTCTTAAACTGTTTGCAAAATGTTAGACCCTTAATTCACTGTAGCAAGTTAAAAGAAAAGTATCGAGAAAATGGATTTCAAGATTAACCTGCTTTATTATTAAAAGAAACAAAAAGGTTGACTTGGAGGATACTGAGTGTTTGTAGTCAGCAGATTTGGTCAGTAAAATATGTGGACAACTAGAATCACTGTCAATGAGGGTGTGATTGTTGACTTGACTGTAGTTAGTAGATGTTGGTCCCTCACACAGGGAGTGGTGGGGTAGCCTAGTGGTTAAAGTGTTCGCTTGTCATGCTGAAGACCTGGGTTCGATTACCCACATGGATACAATATGTGAAGCCCATTTCTGGTCTCCCCCGCCGTGATATTGCTTGAATATTGCTAAAAACAGCGTAAAACCATACCCACTCACTCCCTCACTCAAATAACATAGCTTATATGTTCAAGAACAAGACTTGATTTGAAAACATACTTAATAGATATTGTCATATTTCTTTTTCTGATAACTTCATTTGTTTGTGTCTCTGTGATGTGTGGACTGACTAATAAAGTTACAGTTATAGGAAGAAATCAAATCATTTCACATTTTACTATTGTTCTACATATCAATTTTCTCATATATTACCATTGTTGTTAGGGATGCAACGATTCAGTTTGATTCATCGAAAATCGAATCTGACACCATAGTTTACATTTACAATGACCATTATCACTATTTCGATTCGATATTTGAATAACTATTTAAATTATTTCCACACAGCCAGAACAAAATTTTGACTCCAACTTGAGCAGTTTTGAGTGCTGAAATAAAGGCGAAATGTGATTGGTTGATGCTGGGCTAATTGTCCAGTGAGAATTGTTGTTAGTAGACATCGCCAAGTTGACGATGGATTTCACACTAAAAAAACCGACTCTGAGAGTTAAATGAAATCTGATGTTTTTACTTGTATAAAGAATCAAATAAAAAAAAATGATCGAATCAAGGGCCCCATATAAAAAATCGAATCGAATCAAGGTCTGGGTGAATCGTTGCAGCCCTAATTGTTATTATCTATTTTCTGTGGGAATATATATGACATGGTACACTGATCCAGTAGCATTATTCACCAGTGTATAGTCTATTGTCACATAACAACAAATGTACTGGGGATATATTTGGTGTCTTGGAGTCATGTATTGATTCCATACAATAACTTAAACTCATTAATATCAGAAATTATATATAATACAATACCTCTGTGTGTTAAAATATAATGATGTCTTCAATGAAGGTCACATCAGGTGAAACAACCCAAAATTTCCGAACCAATACAATGTTAACTTGAATTTGAATTTATTTCTGAATAGGCCAGAGGCCAATTTACAGGTTACAATTCAGATTGCAATAATACACATGCAATAGGGAGATCTCCAATGGTACTTGGAAATGAAAGCTAAATAAATAATATTGTTAACAATACAATGTTAAAGTTCTAAAATATTAATGATTAATATTTTTACTGCCTTCACTTCATTGCAACTAAAAGAAAAAAGATATCCTTATAGCTAATATAAAACACCCCATTCTCAACTATTCCTTTTGATGAAAACCCCTGTTTGTGTGAAAATGGCATGGCACTCACAAACAATAGGCCAAAGAAAATATCCAAATGATATAATGACAATGATACAATGGCACAAGCTTTCTTACTTTGAGGTTAACCAATACTCATGAATAAGAGTAATAGAAATCAACTAAAAAACATATCTTGGATACAGGCCAGAGTCGGTGATCTTGTGTTTCTAAATATTCTGAATAATTTTATCGTGAATCATGTATAGAAAGTTAAACAGCCCTACTGCCTTGAAGGGATTATTTAGAAAGTATGGTGATAAACATATGAATAATAAGCCTTGGCATTTGCATTTCTTAAGACTTTGAATGAACATTTCCAGATAGATAATTATGAATCACTTGTTGACTGTTAATCAGCATAGATGCCATAAGCAGTATATTTTTAAAAATAAGATATGAGATAATTAGCCTTGACCCTTGCGTTTCTTTGGACAAAAATCTTATTAATAATTGATTGTACCTCTGTAGCACAGTAAAGGATCGTGTTTGAAAACATTCACATGAGAGCTGTAAATGTGTGTCAACTTATATTTTGTGGACTGTTTGGAATAGTGCAGTTTGTGTTGATATGTATATTTTCCACCAAATGAAATGAATGCCCAAGTGCCGATTGGTTTTAGAGAGATTCACTGAGCTGGTGATTTGAGGGTTGCCATGCAG